GGGAAAAGGAAAGGCAGCACGGAACCGGGGCCGGGAAAAGGAAAGGCAGCCCCACCTCGGTCCCTCAGCTCTGGCCCTGCCCAGGACTCGGAGCTGCTCTGGGCTGGGGGAACACCTGGGCAGGTCCAACCGGGATCTCAGCTCGCCCCTTTTGAAGTTCCCAGCCTGGTTTTTGGTGGGAACAGGGTCAGGGTCATCCCCTCGTCACACTGCCCACATGGACAAGCAAATAAAAATAACCCAACGAATTTGAATACACTGTATTTATTTGTAACAGATTCTAAAGAATCTAGTGAGTCTATGTCAAGCCCATTGCATGACAAGTGATACAGGTGTAGGAAAAAAAAAAAGACATTTAAAACAAACAAAACAACGAAAAAAAAGAAATCAAGTGCCATTCAAGCTACTGGAATCTTCCAATTGCCCCCCCACAGGAGGCAGCACAGTATCACTGCAAGGTCTAGAAAAATTCAGGTTCAACCCATTCACAAGAGTCCCACCACACACACTCCATAAATCCAAAGTGCAATCTCAATGGTAGGTCGCCCTGTCGAGCTGGAGGGGATCTTTCTGGGCATCTCAAAGGGAAGGAGGGAGGAATCTCACTTTAGTGTGTCTGTGGGTAGGAGCAGCCTGTAAAAAACCTGCTACACGGCATCTACGTTCAGTTCAAAATGCAAGGGAAAAAAAAAAATTCTCACCTTCCTGGCAGCCATGGAAGTGGCACACTGGGGCTCCCAACAGCAGCCCTTGCAGTTTTCCCTTGCACTGGAAATTCCAAGCTCCCAGCACAGGGAGTCTGGGGGACTTGGCCATGAAAGCAAAGCTGTGCTGCAGGGAGGCAGCCAAAACCTGCAGTGGCCACAGGGCCAGTGCCACTCGCCCAGCTCTGATGGGAGGGAGCAGGGCTGGGCCAGTTCATCTCAGAGCCTCCCCCCACCCCTTACTCCCACATTGCCCCTACCCCAAAAAAGGTACCAATCTGGCTATGCACATTCCAAGGTTCTAGTCTTTATTTCAATCTGCCCAGCTATTACAGTTTTGTCACAAAAACAAAAAAAAAAAAATAAACCCCAAAAAACCTCCAGGTTAGTAAAGGTACTCGAGTATCAGCCTGGCAGGAAGCACCAGGAAGCCGAGGTGATCCAGAGCAGCATCCCAGGGAATGAATGCCTGCAGCCTGCCCCCTCTGCCTCCCTGCACACTGAAATCCAGCTGAGATGGCTGCAGGCACAGCAGCCCAGGCACCTCCACAAAAACTCTGTGCTCTGGACACCCAACAACTCAAAGCCACATTGGACTGAGAGAGCCAAACCCTCAAAACATGACAGGGTCTGTTTAGAAGACATTTTTTACCTAAGGCCAACTAACTTCACCCCCCCTTCCTCCCCCAGGCTGCATTTCTAGCTAGAGGGATGAATTTCAAATTCTATCACACAGGGAATCACAGCTGGGAACTCTGCTTTGGAGACAGGAGCTGCCCAAGGGATGATTTCCAGCATGGAAGAAGTCCTAGAGGACACAGTGACAGCTGGAAATGACTGACCAGTGACCTGGATGGTTTGTGCTTCAAAGGACAAGCATCACCTTCCCCGAGAGCCCAGCTGGCCTCTGGCTTTGTGCATTAAAATCACACTGCATGTCAAAAAAAAAAAAAGCAAAAAAAGAAAAAAATTGGAAGAGCAGCATTTCAAATTCCCCTAGAAAATACAGGATTAGGTATGGCAGCCTGGGGCAGGCTCCTGGACAAATCACCTGCCTCATCATTTAGGAACTCAACTCTATTTTGGCACTGCAGACTTGGGAGCTTGAAGAAATCCATGTGTAGGTCCCTGCTGCCTTTTTTCCAGCAAGCTCTGCACAGCATTTCCCACCATGCACTCCCCCCCTCCCCAGTGCTCCCAGTTTCAGCCATTCCAACCCCCCCGGGTTTGCAGCCCCGTTTTGGCAGCTCTTGGCTCCAGCTGGTCCTTCACAGGCAGCCCAAGCCCCTCAGCAACACAGAACCTGCTCTGGCCTCAGCCAGGATAAGAAATGATCTTGCGACCCTCCCCACCCACGACAGAAACATTTTCCTCTTCAGACATTCCCCACTCAAGCTCTGGGCCGTCAGCCCCAAAATAATAATAAAGGTTTACAGTACAGTTGTGTTTCTATTGTTACAGGCACTTAAACAGGATTCTTTGGTCCTTCAAAGGAATTAGCCACTCTGGCTTCTCTCGGCAGAAACCACAAGTTTGCACACCCATAACACCTCCTGCACTTAAAAAAAAAAAAACAAACCACAATTCAGATCCATTTCAGGGCAGTGCAGCTCTACCTTAGCGTAATTCTACAGTCTCCCCTCACACACCCCACCCACCCCACTGCCTCCACAATTCCAGAAGGAGTCATTTCCATAACACTGCACTTCCCATCACAGTGTACAGCAGACAAGCCTCGCTCCAACAATCCCAGGAACGAGACACTCAAGCAAGAGTCCAGGAAGTTTCCTTTTGTTGCAGTTCTAGGAAGGTCGGGAGGTTTTATTTAGATCCCCCTGCCCACCCTGCCAACCCCCCCCTCACCAAGGCAAGGAAATACCTTGGAGGGCAGACCCTGGAGCCTGTCCTGGCTCAGTTACAGGGGAGCCACGTGGGGTAGGGCTGGTTGCAAGGCAGGAAGGGCTGCACGTGGGTCACGTAGTAGTTGAAGTTTATTTCGCTGACGTAAGGGGCTGGCTGGTAGTAGCAGGTAACGTTTGTGACGGTGGGGATGATGTTCTGCTCAGCCAGGACCCTCACAGCCAGCATGGCAATGAGGTTCAGGGTCTGCCTCCTCTCGTGTCCCATGAGGCAGACCGTGCTCTCGTTGACCACCCTGTGCAGGGTCATCAGATAGTCATACCTGTTGCTCTCCATGCCCACGAAGTGGCTCTGCAGGTAACCCTCCAGCTTCCGCAGCTGCTCGCCGATGTCCGAGAAGTCGATGAAGAACCTGGAGCACATGTACCTCTGCAGGGCCTTCATGTCCACCTCCGACTTGGGCTTGAAGCCCCTGACCAGGAGGTTGCAGTACTTGAGGAGGCCCCCGCCGCGGATCTCCTCGGGGTTGCGGGTGGCGATGACGCGGTGCCGCAGGTGCTCCATGGCCTCCTGGAAGTCCCCGTACATGCTCTCGCCCGTCACCGTGGGGTGGAAGCTCTCGGCCATGGGGTTCTCCGAGCACTCCCCGAAGAGCAGCAGCGAGTCCAGGATGATCTGGAAGGAGTCCACGCTGAACTCGAACTGGCGCCGCAGAGAATCCACGAACTTGAGCTCCACGTTCTTGCCGCTGTTGTTGGACAGCGAGATGAGGCTCCAGCGGTCGGTCTCGTTGCACACCTTCACCAGCTTCTGCACATAGGCCTCCTTCAGGGTCATGGGCGTGATCTTGTCCTTGTTGACACCCTCGGGGAGGAAGTCCAGCAGGCAATCCATGACCACGTCTTTAACCAGCTGGAAAACGTCCTCGCTCTTCAGATCCACCCCGAAAATGAGGTCCAGGTCCTTGTAGCCCAGGCCACTGTCCTGGTGCAGGACGTGGCTGGCTGCTGAGCCGTTCAGCCTCACGTTGTGCACTGTGATTCCTTTCTTCTGCAGGCGGCTGCGGACAACCTGGGACAGAGACAGAGGCGGTGAGAGGCAGCAGGGAATTCCTGGAGCACGGGGACAGGAGGATTCAGTCCCAGCGCTTATTTGGGTCACTCCAGTGCAAGACACTCAAATAAAAAGCTAATCCATTGGAAATGGGTCACTTTGGAAAGCATCCCCAGTCCTGCCAGCAGCTGCGGGTGCCTCTCCTTCACTGATTCCCTGGCATTAGAGATCTGACTGCACATGATCAGCTTCCAGTGCACTGTCTGCTCTCCCTGCCTTCCCCACACCAACCCGGAGAGGCTTCCTGGCCCCGTTTTCTGGGGTGCTCTCTGCCCTCTCCATCCCCTCCCAGCCCCAGTGACCAAGCCAAGAGCAGCCGACCCCACAGTGACCCCAAATCAGAGGTGGCAGCACAGTCTGCAGCAGTCCCCGTGGATTTAATCAGGGTGGCTCACTCCTTTGAGCCATCCCTTCGGCCTGTCAAGATTCATTAAAGGCAAATCAAGATGCCAGAGCAGCTCAAAGGCCCCAGCCAGGCGTATGCAAGTTCATGTCCCAACTAGTAAGTGTATCCTAACAATTTCCAGTGTGTCAGAGCTTCGTGCTGAGCTTGGCATGCTATCAAGCACAAGAGGCAGCTTTCATCTTACGGGTGTTACTCCGGTGATTTTAATGCTGCCTGCCCAGTCCTGGCACACCCAGCAGCCCCTCCAAAGCTTTGTGCATTTACAGGGAAGCTGAATCACCTGCCTGATTACTTAACAAGCAGGAGGCTAAAATAACCCCCAAGACCATAAAATAAACTATCTGGACACCAGCTTATAATTTGAGTTTAACTCGGCTCAGAGATCCCAGGAAGATTAGGTTTGCACCTTCCAGCAGGAGCTCTTCCCAAGTCTCATCCTGCTTTCGTGTTCCCCTCCAGCCATTCCCATTTTCCTGGGAGTCCCAACCAGTCAGCCTAGAGCCAAAGCTTGGGACACAAATGGACAAATGGGATCACCAAGAGCCAGTCTGACTGGGCCCTTCAGCCCTGAGAGCCTGCCCTAGTTTGAGGGGCCCCACAAACTCCCAAAACGTGAATTTCAGTTCAAAGCTGTATCACAAGGGCCAAACCCTCTCAGCCTGAGCAGTTCTGGGGCAGATCAGAAGTGTTGCAGTTCTGGTCTCAGCAGCACTAAAACTGCCCCTCTATGGGTTTTGTTTGGAAGGAAGAACACACAGAAGGTCAGGGGCTGCAGCAGGAAACCCTCATCACATCCCAGACCCTCACCAAGGGCCACCACAAGTTCTGCTGCCTTGGCAGAAACACCCCAGCACAAACCCCGTGGAGTTCCCACACCTGGGAGGCTGTCAGGGCTCACCCTGCTGCTGCTTGCCCTGTGTCCCCGACAGGAGCCAGCCCTGCTGTGGCTGGAAAGGCAGCCGGGCCCGTGGCCAGGGCAGTGGTGACAGTCACAAGGCAGGCAACACTTAACCAGGGCACTGTCCACACTGGGAGCCCCAGGTCCCCAGCACACACACAGAAAAAAAGCTGTTTTCCAAGGCAGATAGTTTGGAAAAAAAAAAAAAGAATCTGCTCCGAGATTAACACAGGGTTATTCCTCAAATTGAACAAACACCACACAGGCGACCCAGGGGAGCTCCTGGCCTGTGCCTGGTGCCAGCTGGAGTCACTCACCCAGGGCACAGCTCCAGCACTGCTCGTGGAGTTAAAGACTTTTGTGCTCTCAGGCTTAGAGAGACAAGATATAGGTCACAAAGTGCTAGGTGCAGAGCTGGGCCCAGGGCTTGGAGAAGATCTTGTTCCAGATTAATTTCCTAACCCCAACGAACACCTGCTTAACCCCTTTCTGAGCACGGCTCAGGACCTGCAGCATTCCAGAGCCACAAGCTCCAAGCTTACTCGAGTTCCCCACGCCTGTCTGTGTGAGATATATTCAGAAAACAGGGAAAAAACCCAATTTTCGAGTCAGCCTTGTCCCAAATCACCCCAGACATCTCCAACCTGCAGAGCAGCAGCGAGCAGAGCACTTTGCCATTCCCTGGGAGCTCCCACCCACCAACCTCCACCTGGAGCTCATCCCCCCTGGCTGCAGGCAGTGGGTTCAGGGCTGCATTTTTCCCCAGGGGATTGGATATTTCCAGGGTTAGGCAGCTGCTGACCTGCTTCCCAAAAGAGCAGCTCACCTTCCGTGTGGTTGGGATAATTGAGTGTGACAGCCAAGCAGGAGCAAATCCTGCAGCGTCCTGACCTGCTGCTTCCCCCCTCCCACAACAACAACAACAACAGGATAAATACCTTCCTTTTGGGTTACTGCTGCAGCTTAGTCAGCCCTAAACACAGGGTCTGCCAGCACAATTACAGCCCTCACTTATCCCGTGTCTGGAGCTGCTGCTGGCACCATCCTCTGGGACACCGCACCGTGCCACCAGGGAGGAATATTCGGAATATACTGGAATATTCAAAATATGCTGGAATATTTGATGCTGCTCAGTGCCGTGGTGCTGCCCCAGTGTCCTGCCTGCAGCTCTCATCTGCCATTCAGCTCCAAGCAGCCAAAACCCAGCGCTTCTGCCCCCGACAGGAGCTCGAGGAATCCCAAACCAGCCTTTCAAATGTCACCTTTCCATCTCCCGGGCTTAACTCTAACTCTTCCTCAAGCAGCCGAGGCTCCAAAATCCCGGTTATTGTGAAAGCCAGTTGGGTCTTAGCGCCGTGAATAGGCTTTTTAATTAGAAGCCAACATGCCCGATTTTACATTTGATGAGTCATTACTGAGGAATGAAGTCGCCTCCCAAATATGAATATGCATCAGCTCATTGGAGCTACATTGTTAGTTTAATATTAAACACAGTTATTACTTGATAGTTAAACTAAGAGGAGCTCGTGAACAAGCCGAAGTCTCGGGCAGGCTGTGGAGGATTCAGCCAGGGGTGCCCAGAAATCAAAGGACACGGACATTTGATCCGGCCTTTGAATTAATAACTCTGCCTCTTCCAACACGAGCCCAACATGTCCACCAGCACGAAGCCATTTCGTGGAAGCAGCTCCAAAAAAAGCCACTTCTGGCCTGGCCACACACGTTTCACTGCTTTTTAGGGCAACAAATTAACTCAAAAAGAGGAGGAAGAAGGTAAGAGGGGAAGAAGCCAAGCAGGATCTATGGCAGAAGCCGCAGCAGCTGCTCAGGAGGGTCCCTCCAGCCCCAGGCATTGCTGCTGTGGCTGCTGGCAGGGGCCAGCCCCACCACGGCCCCCGGAGTGGGCAGTGGGGCCAGCTGGGCACACAGCACCCCCGGCATGACGGGGGCCAGACCCCAAAACTTCCAACTCCCCCTGGAGCAACCAGGCCGGGCAGGGCAGGACTGGGCACAAGCCACTCCAGGGGAAGGAGCCCCTGCCCGTGGCAGGGGGCTGGAACGAGATGCTATTCCCAAATTCCAAACCTGCCAGAAGCCAAGCAGCGTTTGGGACGCTCAGTGGGATTTCTGGGGGTGTCCTGTGCAGAGCCAGGGTTGGATCCTTGGCCAGCTGAGGATATTCCCCGGTCTTTACGCCCCTTCCAGCCCGAAGCACTCAGCGGCTCCGGGGGCAGCCGCACCGGCCGCTCTGCGGGGGGAGGCCGAGGGTGCCCGGCCGGGCTGGCTCGGGGCCCGCCGGGCCCGGTTATCGCCGCCTCAGCACTTTTATTTTCTGCCTGACCCCCGGCGGAGCGAGCGGGGCAGAGTCCAGCGCGGAGCGGGGCCCGGGCCCGCAGCCCCCGCGGCCCCTCAGCCCTCTCAGCCCCCCGGCCCCGCTCACCTGCACGATGGTGCGCGGCCGCACCGACAGCGTGGGGAAGTTGCCGCGGCCGTGGATGGGCACGGCCTCGCCCAGGATCTGGTCCAGCCGCTGCACCTGCTCCCAGGTCAGGACGCTGAAGCGGCTCCCGCTCTGCTCCGCGCCGCCCGCCGCGGCCTCCGCCGCCGCCTCCAGCATCGCCGCCGCCGCCGCCGCCGCACGAGCCGCTCAGCCGGAAACTGCCCGGAAACCAGCCGGAAGTGCCGGGTGCGGAGAGGGAGCGGGGAAAAAACTTAAAAATGGGGGGAAAAGCAAAAAAAAACCCCAAAAAACAAACAAATAAAAAACAAAAAAAAAACAAAAAACCCCAAGTGGCGCCGGCGAGGGGCGGCTGCGCGGGGCGCGGCGGGAGCGCGGTCGGTGCCCGCAAGGACTCGCACTGAACCGGGCCCGGCCGCCCCCCGCCCGCCACCGGCTCCGCCGAGCGCTGCGCCCGCCCGCACCCCGCCGGGCCTTATATAGACCCGTGGCCAGCCCCATTGGCCCCGGCCCCCGCCAATCCCGGCCCGAGCCCGTGCCCAGGGGGAGGAGCGCGGCGGTACCGGAGCCAATCGGAGCGGAGATTGGGGAAGGGGGCGGGGAGGGGGCGGTTCGGGACGGGGCAGCCCCGCCCCCGCCGCGCGCGGGAATCCCGGCCGTGATTGGCGGGGCCGGGCAGGCCGGGGTGGCCGCGGGGTCCCTGTGTCGCCCTGTGGTAGCCACGGATGTCCCTCGGTGTCCCACTGCGGCACGCTCCTGCCACACCCCTGCCCTCTGATGTCCTATTGGCTGCCTTTGCTGCCCCATCGGCGCCGCTTGACACGCCTTTGATATCCCACTGATATCCCGCTGGCACCCCATGGATGCCCACTGATGTCCAGTGGTCTGATGCCCACTGATGCCCCATTTATACCCCGGTGCCCCACAGTTGTCCTGGTATCTGTTCCCCCAGTGATGCCCATCGATGCTCTGCAGGCTGGCACCCCATGGATTCTCACTGCAGTGATGCCCCACGGTCTGACATCCCATAGATGCCCCATGGCCTGTCACTCCACAGCTCAGTGTCCCCATCTGGGCACCCCCAGCTCCCCCAGTCCCCTGTCCCTGGTCAGCAGAGTCCCCAGGGCCGCCCGTGCCTGCTCTGGTATCCAGGAGACGCAGGGTCACACTCTGGGGTGATGGAGCTCAGACCCAGCCCCTGAATCCCAGAGCGTGGCCCAGCTCCCAGCTGAGCCACCACCTCCTCCTGGGGCCAGACGTGTCTCCAGCCTCTGGCCACCCATTTGCTTTCATCCCAACAGCTCCCATCCCTTTGCAGTGCTCATTTCTGTGCAGCGTTCCGCCCTGAAGACATTTCCATGCTGAGCTGGTGCCCTGCGGTCCAGGGGACGGAACAGCTCCAGCCCCACACCTGCAGTGGCCACTCCCATTTCCCGGGCTCCTGCTTGGAGCTGCGATCCATCCTTAGAAGCCACGAGCCTCGCTGGGAGATGAGCCAGTGCTGATTTGTTTTCAGACCTTCACAGGGTTTTATTGCAAGAACTCCCTGACTCCTGAAAACTCCCGAACGTCCACCCTGGGACTTTCCACCCCAGGGAAGGCGGAATCTGCAGAGTTCTTCCAAGATGCAAAGTCTATCTCGGAAGCCAAGGCCTCTGCCACATCCCAAGGGTTTGCTGCTGGGAGCTGGAGCTGGCTGCAGAAAGAGGAGCTGGGGGAATTGGGGTGTCCAGGAGCATCCCCAGCTGGGGTTGGAGGGGAGAGAAGGGCAGTGGTGTCCTGAGCCCTGATTCCCTCTGAAATCCTCCCCATTCCCTGCTGCACTGACAGCCAGAGGGGCCCCAAGGGGGGCTGGAGTCCCCTCTGCCAGGGTCCCCGTGTGGGATGCTCCTCTTGCTGTGGTGTCCACCCGTGACTCCACCAGGTTTCTCCACCAGGATTAAAATGCTCCTGGGTGCTCCCCGTGAGGCTCCGAACTGGGGCACAGCACAAGGGGAGCCCTGCTGGAAAGTGATTTTCCAAGGAACTTGATTAAATAATCAGGCAGCTGCCTCTCATTGCAAAACCCTTTTGATGTTGCCGGCAGAAAAGCTGGATCAGGAAAGGTTTCCCAAGAGGCTGAGAGGGGCCAAATGGCTTTAGGGACCAGGATCCATCCAGCCGGGGACTCAGCAGGAGGAAGGGAAGGGCTGGTCGGGGGCTGACCTCCCCATGGATGTGGGGCCTGGGGCACCCCCAGCTCTGGCAGCCCCGGGCGGTGGGGCAGGATCCAGACACGGAGATCGCACGGACAAGGAGCTGCAGATCCCTCTGGGATGAACTGGGATGGACCCTGGGCTGCCCGGGCCGGTGGGGACAGAGGCGCTGCCGGCTCCGGAGGAAACCTGGGCCCACTGGAAGGAGCTGAGGGGCTCCGGCCGGGCGGGCTGAGCCGCTCGTTCAGCTCCATCACCGAACCATCATCCCAGAGAGCCGCCGGCAGCGAGCCTGGCACTGGGAATGGCACCCGGGCCGCTTCCTTCCAGCTCAGCCAGGGCCAGCCCGGGATTTATTCGTTTGTTTTGCTGGCAATTAAGGAATAATCATCGTCTTGGGGTGAAACGCGGGCGGATCCTGCCTGCCGGGGGTGGCACGAAGGTGGCAGAGCCCCTTTGGAGATACGGGGGTGGGGCAGGGGCTGGGCAGGGGATGCCGTGACCCCGCTTGCCCCGCGGATCTGGGGTTGGCAGCATCCCCATGGACACTGCTCTGTCCCCGGGGAAACAGCCCGGAACGCGTCCGGCGTGTGCGGGGAAGGAGCGGGGACACCGCAGGGCCGGGGGCTCGGGAAGGGGCGGGTGGGGGCAGAGATGGAAGCCCCCGAGCTGAGCGGAGCCCCTCCGGGCGCTGGGGACCTTTGGCAGCCCCGGTGGGCCGGTCAGCGGGGAAACTGGGGCAAAGGAGCCGGAAGAGCTGCGGGAACCGGGCAGTGGGTGAAAGTGTCCCCAGCCTGGAGGTGGAGAGACCTCGGGGACTCCGTGACCCGCGTGGGACCGGCTCCGTCCCACTCGGCATTAAGCAGGGCGTGTGCCAACTCCCTGAGCAAGCAGCAGGGACCAAGCCCTGCTCCCGGAGCCGCCGACGTCACGCAGCGTCGCCCCGGGGGACAGCAGTGCTGCTGTCGGGGTGCGGGCACTCGGCTCCCCGCTGCCACGGCAGCGCCCTGGCACCGCCGCCGTGCTCACGTCAGCCGTGTCCCGGGCTGGCCCTGTCGCCGTGCCCGCGGCAGATGGCACCGTGCGGGCACTGCCTGAGCCGCGCACGCAGCGGCCACGGCTGTGCGGGGCTGCCCCACAGAGACACGAACTGTCCCCATGGAGACACAAAGTGTCCCCATGGAGACACAAAGTGTCCTCAGGCAAACCCAAACTGTCCCCACGCAGACACGAACTGTCCACAGGGAGACACGAACTGTCCCCATGGAGACCCAAAGTGCCCCCAGGCAGACACGAACTGTCCCCAGGCAGATTCCAGCCACCATCGCCGGGCAAACACTCACTGTCCCATGCACAGCTGCTGCTGTCCCTCGTCACCGTCCCCACGCCCACGCTGCCATCCCCACGCATCTGCCCCTGCTGTGGGTTTAGGAGGTGGAGTCCTTCTCCACGGCCGTGTCCAAATCCTCCCTCGGCAAACACAGTTCCTGGACACCTCCCAGTCACTCGGGTTCACTGTCCAGCCCATCCCACAGGTGCCACCACTGCTCGCTGGTCACCCGTGCCCCTGGGCAGTGCCACCGCCTGCCGTGGTGGCCAAAGAGGCGTTTTGCCCGTGCTGGCCACAGCAAGGCTGGATTTGGCACAAGGGGCATTGTGAACACCCGCTGCATGGCATGAGGGGTGTCACTGTGCTGCCACTGTCTGCTCTCAGCCTGTCACCCCCTGTGTCACCCCCCCGGACCCCCAAACTCGGCCACATCCCATCCTGGAGGGGATGATGAGCGATGCCGCCGGAGCGGGGCCACCCGGGAGGCGCTGACATGAAAGGGAGCGCAGGGTGTCATTACTGCAGGTGACACAGAGCTGGGGAATGGCACCTGTCACCTCCCCCGGCTGCTGCAAAATGCTGCCCGGGGAGTGGGGGGGACACGGCACCGTCAGGCTCTGGGGACAGCGACACAGCAACAAGGTGTCCCCAGCATTGCTGTGGCGAATCTCCCCTGGGGTGTCACTGGCTGGGGACATCCCTGTCCCCTGGCAGCATGACCTGTGTGTCCCCCGGCTCGGTGGCTTCCCGGTGACACCACGTGCTGTTTTTCTTGGCATGACTTGTGCCTTTCGAGCCGTGGCAGGGATGACCCATCTCAGGGGCACTAATCTGGGCCTGGCAGGGAGCACAGCCGCTCCCTCGCTTTGGGTTTTTGGGCCCCGGGTGACACCTGAGCGGAGCTGCGGGTGGTGACAGCTCCAGGACACCCCGTCCCATCACTGTCCTCCTGGGAGAGCCGGGAGCTCTGCTCTGGAGGCTGCTGAGCCTCAGTCAGTGACTCGGGGAGTGACTTCATGGGCGTTTCGAGGGCTCTCGGTCCGTGCTGGGGCCATGGGGACAGTCACTCCCCTCCTGCCACCCACTGCACCCCCGGCTTTGTGCCGGAGCACAGAGGGAAACTGAGGCACGGGACATCCCATCCTCTGGCTGGGGCTGCAGATCTTTAATCCTCATGGGTGGGAGCTGTGGAAGGGGCACGGACACCATGGCACACACGTGGAATGACAAGGTCATCCTGCCCAGAGTTCCTTTTCTCCCTGTCCGCGGTGCCACCACCAAGGTCCCAACACGCTTTGGGAGGGAGAGGGGGATATGGGGCACGGGGAAAAGACATCACTGCCAGGACTGTGGGGGACACGTTGGGCCTCCTCCAGCCCGGCCCCAGCACTGCGTGTGCTTTGGCAGTGGCTCAGCGGTGACAGCCCAGCCCTGGAGGGATCATTAGTCCTCCCTAATTAAAATAAGTTACTCACCCTTTGAGACAGAAACGAGAATATCCTGGAAATACCTCGGTTTGGGGAGTTCTCGGTCTAAAGGTATGACAGAAATCAGGCTGCAGGTGATGCTCCCTGGCACGTGGGCATGTGAGTTACCTGGGCACTGCCCGGGGCTGC